TAACATTGTAGTTTGTAGGTTATTCGTGCAGAGATTGCGTATCAACATATTAGCATTTGCATGCAGTTGTATGTTTTGTGGTTTAGTACTTTTGGAGTTATAACACATGAAAGTTCTTTTTAGCATTGCTTATTAATTGCCTCAAATTTTACCCACACTAAGTGAATGTTTTTTTTCTGCTAATTACACTGGACAACAAAAAATTTTCTACTGGAGAAAACTCAAGTGACTGGGGTAATTTGATTGTGTTGAATTCGAAAATGTAGTCAGAATTTTCCATCGCGTCTAGATTTTGAGTTATTGCAATATCTCAATATTTTATTGGTACTGTGTGAAATACCATGCAATAAACTCAAAACAATAGATTTGTGCCATGAAATTAAGTTTACTTGGACAGTTTAATGTGTTAAAGGCATAAATGTTTGATAATTTCAAACATCTCCAAATATATTGTTCATATATGCTATTTCTTCTCGATATAATTCTACCGAATTGTACCACTTTTCCTTCATTCCCACATTCACCTGCTCTACCCGGGAATCACGTGCTAAATTTGCTAGAACATTCGAGAAGTCCCTCGACTAAGTATAAAAGGGGAAGAGTCAAAGGTCTCTCTCTCAGTTGCCTCTTACTCACTCAGTTGGTCACTTCATTTCACTCCGTGCACAGCCAAAACAAAGTCCAATCTTCTTCCTGACATCATACCCACGATATAATCAAATTCTGGAAAACTTTTTTTATTCTTTTAAACTCTAGTTCTGTAAAGACAAATTCTTTTATAATTGCTAGAAACTTGTTTGAAATGCTGGCTGCCTCCAATTCACGTAAAGTCCAAAAATCACCGAAACAGTTTCTGCTACATTTGTGAAAAATATAGTTCAGTTTCCCGAAGGAAAAACATCACACACAAGATAAAGATGGCTTACTACCACTATTTTGGGTGTAAAACTGGTGACTAAGAAAAACATTGGGCTCCACATGTGTGTCATACAGTTTGCACATCTAGCTTGACATTGTGGTTGAATAAGAAGAGAGCAAGGTTTGCAGTTCCCATGTTATGGCGTGAGCTCTACGATAGTCTAACTGACTGTTATTTTGCAGGACTAATGTCCCTGGATATTCAGGTAAAACTGAACAATATATTAAACATCCAGACATTGCATCAGCAATGAAACAAGTACCTCATGGGGATGGTCTTCCAGTGGCACATCAACCAGCAAATTAGGAAACAAAAGAGTTATTCTGCAAAGAAGACAATGAATCATATTCATCCTCTTCATTTAGTAATTATATTCCTGCGGCCCCTCAACATAAACTGCCTCATCTGATCACACAGGAAGAGCTAAATGATCTGAGTTCTGACTTCTGTCAAAGTAGCATGGGGAACTTCATGGCCCTCGTTTACAGCATGGAATTTATTAACTCCAGGAACAAAAGTTTCAGTTTACCGAAGTCACCATCAAAGTATTGCTTCTCGCTACAGCATGGAAGATACTTTGTGTTTCTGTACAATTGTTGATGTACAAATGGAAGAATTAGGTAATAAACATTATTCTAAAGAATGAAGACTTTTTATAGACTCATCTAAAGTTAGTCTGAAAGCTGTACTTTTGCATAATGGGAAAACTAACACCCCGATTCTTGTTGTTCATGCTGTGAACATGAAAGAAACTTATCCAAGAATGCAGATTATACTTGAGGCCATATCTGATTTGGAACATATGTGATGATCTAAAAGTTATTACACTCATACTAGGTCTTCAAGGTGGGTTTACCAAACATTGTTGCTTTTTATAGTCTCTGGGACAGCTGAGACGATAAAAATAATTTAAAAAGAAACAATGGCGAGTGAGAGAGAGAATTACATATCAGGGAAACAGAATATCGAGTATCAAACTTTAGTGAATCCTCAAATGGGTTTCTGCCCCTACTTCATATTAAACTGAGACTCAAGAAGAATTTTGTAAAAGGAATGAACAAAGATTGTAATGGTTTCAGATATCTGTCTGATAAATTTTCCAAAATCAGTGAAGAAAAACTGAAAAGAGGTATCTTTGTTTTGAGTTAGGAAGTACCGATGGGTGATAATTTTGAAACAGTATTCAATTGGAAAGAACTTGCTGCCTGGAAATCATTCAACTGGTTATAAAAATTTTCTTAGGAAATCACAGAGATGAAAACTATGCTGTGATAATCGATGTTATGCTTGAGAACTATATGAAACCACTTTAGGATGTCACTAAGGATCAATGTTGAATTCAGTCCTTTTCACCGTGGGGATGTGAAGCTGGGGGAATGAATTAAAATTGAAATTCGACAAAATTGAAAATACTATACTTCAGGGAAGATTTTTTTTTTTGCACAGTTGGAAATTCCCCATGTACAGCCCCTGAATTTAACACTGATAACGATACACTTTATAAACTCCCGCCTAAAAATCTTTCCAAATAATCTAGGTGCAGTGAGCAATGAGCTTGGTAAGCATTTCTATCAAGATATTTATACAATAGAACAGCGATATCAATAACAATGGAATCCTACGATGATGGGAGATTACTGTTGCTTTTTTGCAGCGCGAAACTGAGATATACACACAGCGTGGTCACAAGTAAATAGACACCACCTTTCCAGAAAAAAATGAAATTTTTCAATCATATTCACATGAACTGATATATTTATAATTTAATTAATATCTAGTAGACCTTCTTTTCGCTTCGTGGCTTCGTTGATCCTTTGGGGCATTGTGAGAATCATCTCGTCAATTTTAGATTGTGCGATTTTCGCCCACTCTTGCTTCAAAACTTGGAGTAGATCGCTCTTCGAAGTTAGTTTTTGGTTGTTTCTTGACTTGCCGGTCGAGTATGGCCCAGAGGTTTTCGATGGGGTTCATGTCAGGAGATTGGCTCTGCCAGGGCAACTTCTGGATGCCATTTTCTTCCTGCCACTTTTGGGTGTTTCTAGCAGTGTGACATGGTGATCCATCTTCCTGGAACAACGTTGTGTTCTTGTCCACGAAACCCGAGGAATAAAGTGGCAAGAGTCCTTCCTCCAATATTTCGACGTACTTCGCAAAATTTATGTTGCCAACGCACTCCACTAAGCTCGATCTCCCACCAACCCAAACAGCTCCCCAAACCACCACGCTGAAACCACCATGCTTCACAGTTGGCTGCAATCTGTTGAGCCAAAACTCTTGGTGAGGCATTCTCCAGACTCATATCCTTTCACTGTCCAAAAATTGAGCGAATCTTGATTCGTCTGAGAACAATACGGTCTTCCCAAAGTCCAGAGGCTTGGTCATCATATCACTTGCCCACTTCTTTCGTCTGACTATGTTGGCAGGTCTTAATAAGGGCTTCCGTCTAGCTGCTCTGCAACGATAACCCAATTTGTGGAGAATCTGTTGAACAGATTTCGGGCTCATCCCACCAACTTTGGCCGCTTCTGCAGTCGTTAATCTGGGATCCATTTCGATGCTCCTCTTGACAGCCCTTTTTGTCCTCTCCGATGGACCAGGACGACCCGGACGTGGCTCAGTTGTTGCCTTGCCGTGTTTCCTGAACTGCACGATGATTCTGTTGACTGTCGAAAGCGGGATTCTCA